AATATTTTTTGCTTTAGAAACAGGAAATGTTCATAATTTTTCTCTGAAGAAGAAATTTTACTTCAAAAGATTATTTTGTATTTTTAAGTGAATAGATTAGAAATGAATCCCACCAAGCAATGTGTGCTAATCACACCGTTATCTGGGTTATTACACTGTCACTGTTAATCACACTGTCATCTGGGTTATTACACTGTCACTGTTAATCACACTGTCATCTGGGTTATTACACTGTCACTGTTAATCACACTTTCATCTAGGTTAATATTATACCAACACTTCAGTTTTTTAATTATATAAACTAAATCAACTTTAACCCATTTCTAAGGATAACTGTTACGCATATATACTTTATATGCCTTGTCCTTTCAGAACGTAGGTGATCATGGCCCTCCACATCTTCCTATCCCATGTAGCTCTTAATAACTTTTGTCTTTTTATTATTTCTCTCAAACCCTGTTTTTTTGCTCAAGCCCATCAAGTATGTCATGCGCTACATTCCTCTGTCCCTCTTTCCTTCTATCTGTCCTGTGAGTATCAGATTTTCCAAGCCCTCCTTCCTCATTACGTGCCCCGGAAACCTCAACTGTCTCTTCCTGATGCTAAGTATAAGTTTCTTTTTTGTTTCCATTCTCTCCAAAACCTCGTTGTTGGTTACATGTTGGGCCCATTTTATCCTCGGCATCTTTCTGTAGAACCACATTTCTGTTGCTTGAAGTCTCTTCTTCATCTTTGAGAACATTGTCCAGCATCCACTGCCACACAGGAGGACAGATATCACGTAACAGTTCAGTACTCTTTTCTTTGTTTCTAACGAAATTTTTATATCGCTTAATACTCTGCTTAGCTTTTAGAATGCATCTTTGGTAATCCCAGTACGTCTTCGGATCTATGTCGCACTTTCCATCCTCTGTTAGAACACGTCCCAGATATTTAAATTTCTGTACCTGGTTGTTTTCGTGCCCCCCCCCCCTGTTCGAAAAATCTGCCCAAGCCTGTTTTAAAATTGATATATTCTCCCACTGAAATAGAATGCGGCATATGGCGTTATTTGATATGGAACCCTACGCACAAATGGATCTAGGTAAGGAAAAACTGTCTAGTTCTGTCAGCGTATTACTGCAGACATCAAGGAATGACTCCGAATCTACCAAATTAGTGCAGTGGTGACGGAGGATCTCCAGGAATAAGACCTATTTTTATACGGAATTTATTGAAATTTGGCACAAAGTAACATTTTGTGACTTTTTAGATGTGTTTTTCTGTGAACACAATGCCAGATGTGGTAATAAAATAAGTACACCCCTTCTCCCCTCTCGCTTTTAACCATCCACTATAATGAACCTTTTCAGTGCTAAACATGAACTAGTTACATAAATCCTCATAGAAAAAAGACGTCAGTAATAAGCAGTTTTCAGTGGCGTAAGCATTTATTTTGTTGAAAACTAAAAAAAACTTAATTTACAGTAGAAAATATTACACCAGATAACTTCAGTTATATGCCATACATGATACACGCTTAAGTGATCATGTATCTTTCGATACGTGACTGACGAGGCAGATTTTTTCCAGCAGTAGTTTGCAATTTCTTTCTGACGAGCTGCCATCCAAGGCTATAGAACACGGACTGCCCTGCTATTTACCCATAGCTGGGGGAGATGAAGATGATTTATACCTTTCCCAAAGACTTTGCTTTAACTGGTTTTGTGTTAAAAGGAAGATTCTGTTTCACCAAATTTTGAAATGGGGAGGGCGTTCTTGCCTTATAAGAGTGTTATTCCCACAAGAAAAATATTAAAAGTGGAGAAGACTCAAAACATCATTGCCAGGTCGGTGATGCTCCTTTTAAGATCAAAAAAGGAAATGTTAAGAAAAATATGGCTGACATATTAAGAATTCAGAATCAAATTAGATTACAAAGACGACTGAAATAAACAAATATCCCTCCCCCTATTTCTTTGTCATTCTCAGGGTCTTTCTTTCCATAATCTGCCTGCCTCCTTCTCTTTTTAATGGGTCCTTTCCCCGTAACCAGGCGCCCTTACGTCTCCCTGTCGTTTTCCAACCCTCCACTCTACTTTATCGCAACCAATTGTCATACGTGCCGAGTTTTGAGGGTAAGGATAGGGACGGTCGATTTAAAGGGGGGGGGCAACAACAACAATAGGATTACCGATAAAAACAGAGCGAATTGAGCAGTCGTCGTGTAGTAGTAGCCGCTGTCATTGTGCCAGTGTTGGAGGAACGATACAAAAGAAAGAAGCAATAAAAGCATGAACGAAAACGCACCTGAAAGAAAGAAAGAAAGAAAGAAAGAAAAGGTGTAAAAAAGAAAAGGAATGGGGGCGGGAGAAGGGGAGAACGTATTGTAACGAAATGGTAGGGTGAGGCAACGAGATAGAAATTTGGAAAAATAAATTCAATGCAAGCGAACAAATTTTGAAAATAGGATTGCGTGAAACGAAAAAAGGAGAAAGAATCAAGAAAGACAAAGAACAATAACTGAATAATAAGTAGAGAAAATTGAATGAATGGATAAATAAATAGATATAAAAAGAAAGAAAGAAAGAAAGAAAGAAAGAACGGACAAAGAAAGAAAAAAGAAAGAAGGAAAGAAACAACAGACTGAGAAAGAAAGAAAAAAGAAAGAAAGAAAGAAAGGAATGAGGGAAAAGAAAAAAAGAAAGAACGGACAAAGAAAGAAAGAAAGAAAGAACGGACAAAGAAAGAAAAAAGAAAGAAGGAAAGAAACAACAGACTGAGAAAGAAAGAAAAAAGAAAGAAAGAAAGAAAGGGATGAGGGAAAAGAAAAAAGAAAGAACGGACAAAGAAAGAAAAAAGAAAGAAAGAAAGGAAGGAGGGAAAGGAAAAAGAAAGAAAGAACGGACAAAGAAAGAAAAAGAAAGAAGGAAAAAAGCAACAGATTGAGAAAGAAAGAAAAAAAGAAAGAAAGAAAGAAAAGAAAGAAAGAATGTAGAGAACAAGAAAGAAAGAAAGAATGAAAACAAGAATGAAGAAAGGAAGAAAGAAAAGAATTGAGAAAGAACGGACAAAGAAAGAAAGAATATAGGGGAAAAGAAATTAAAAAAGGAAGAGAGAATGTAGAGAATAATATTTAGAGTAAAAGAAAGAAAGAAAGAAAGAAAGAAAGAGAGAGAGAGAGAGAAAGAAATGAATATTGAGCAAAGGTAGAAAAAAAGAAATTAAGGAGAGAGAATGGAGTGAGTAAGAAGAAAATCAATATCAAACTCGATGCAGAAAATAGAGAAAATAAAATGGAAATAATATGGAAAAGTGAGAAACAAACCAAGAGAAAAGGAAAAGGGTGAAAATGAGAGAAATGAAGATAAAAAGAGAAGGACGAAAATAAAAGAAGTAGTGAGACGAAGGAAATAAAAAAGAGGGTAAGAATACAGAAAGAGAGAAGGAAATGGTAGAAATGAAAAAAGAAGAAAGCCAAAGAAAGAATGAAAAGAGAGGAAGTAAACTGATGAAAAAAAAGGAAAAGGCGAAGAGAAAAAGAAAAAGAAAAGAATGCGAGAATAACGAAAGAAAATTCAGAGAAAGAAAAGAAATAAACGCAAATGGAAGAGAAAGAAAAAAAGAAGAAAGAAATGGGGAGCAAAGGAGAGAACCAAGAAAAAGAGGAGAAAATGAAACGAAGGAAAAGAAATAAAGAAAGAAACTAATACGGCAAAAGGTAAATGAAAATTAAGGAAAAGAAAGAAAAAAGAAAGAAAGTAAAAGAAAAATAAGAGCAAAGAAATGCAAAAAAGAGTGAGGCAAACAAATAAGGATTAGGAAAGAAAGAAAGAAAGAAAGAAAGAAAGAAAGAAAGAAAGAAAGAAAGAAAGAAAGAAAAAGAAAAATAAGAGCCAAGAAATGCAAAAAAGAGTGAGGCAAACAAATAAGGATTAGGAAAGAAAGAAAGAAAAAACAGAAAAAAGAAAAGAAGAAAAAGAAAAGGAAGGAGGTGAGTTGTGAATGAAAGAATGAAAAAACGAAGGCTCAAAGAAAATGAAAAGGAAGAAATAGCAACAAAAAAAAAAGCGACAGGAAAAGAAAATATTAAAGAATAATTTGTTTCACTAGGAATGAAACTAAAATGCTCGGTTGAGATAGGTTTTCAGAAAGAGGCTACAAGCAAAGGCTATTGGGATATGCTTGAAAAAAAGGGTTAAGTGAATGAAAATGACGGGTTTGGCATGATTGTGTCAGGGTGGGAAAGAATACGATGCAAGAGACGGACAGACGGACGGAACAACGGAAGGAAGGAAGGAAAGGAAAGAGAAATAAACATTTCGGGGTGAAGCGAAGTTGATGGAGGTGGTGGTAGTGGCGGTGGTGGTGCTGTAGAGAGGTCTTAAGGAACAGGAAGGATCAGAGGAGACGATTCTACAAGAGAAGAAAAAAAGAGAAGGTATAGTTATCAACTCTGTGATGTGTGTTGCGGGTGGGGGAGCACAAGCGAAGCGGCGGAGATGGAGAAGAAAAAAGGCGTATGGAACCAGTAACGTAGGAGGAGGAGAAGAAGGGGGGAGGAGGAGGAGGAAGAATACAGACGGAGGAGTTGGGTAGGCTGGAGTGTTTGGTATCGCATAAAATTATCATTCACGCATAAAATTAATTTTATTGGAAAAAAAAGTAGGGAACGGTAACGAGAAAGTCGAAGAGAAACGCATGAGAAAGTGAGAAGAGAGAAAGATAAGAGATAAAGAAAAGAAAGGAAGAAGGAACGAAAGGAAGAAAAAAGACAGAAGAAAAGAAAGGAAGAAAAAAGAAAGAAAGCAAGAAAATAGAACAGTAAAAGAAATAAAAAGCAGAAGAAATATAGAATAGAAAAAAAAAAGAAACAATGGAGCGAACGAAAGAAAAACAGAAGAAAAAAGAAAGAAAATAAAGTTTGAAAAGAAAGGATTATTTTAGAGGCATATAATTAAAGAGGAGAGAGAAAAAAGAAAGAAACAAATAGAAAAAAAGAACAAGGAAAAATAGAAGAATTAAGGAAAGAAAGAAAGAAAGAAGGAAAGAAAGAAAGAAAGAAAGAAAGAAGGAAAGAAAGAAAGAAGGAAAGAAAGAAAGAACAGGAAAAATAGAAGAGTTAAAGAAACAAAAAAAGAAAGAAAGAAAGAAAGAACAAAAGGAAAAATAGAACAGTTAAAGAAAGAAAGAAAGAAAGAAAGAAAGAAAGAAAGAAAAGAAAGAAAGAAAGAACGGAACAGAAAAAAACACAAAAAGAAAGAAACTATTCTTCACTCTTAAAATGTTTATTGCAATTGCGTCGAACCCATTGTGCTGTCAGCCAATGTTACCATTTCTCCTACTTATGAAAAAGTGGGGAAAATGGCGGAGATTGTCTTCATTGTCACTTTGCTTCGTTAGTCAGGCACTCGTTTGTACATTATTATTTTTTTCATCTTCAGGCCCAACTTTCCGTAGTCGTTTTATTTGTATCAGTGAGCAGTCACTGAAATCATTTTTTTTTTTTAACCTGGCCTTCTATTAAAACTACCGTTTTCTATTTATCCATCTTTATTCTGTGTAAAATAAATATCACGTTATGTAAACGATAAATATTTTCCCGCCTTTTTTCATAATATCCGACATTATTATATTTCATTTAGATACGTGTGCGTGATGTCGGAAACTTACTTCTAGTCACTTTTTTCCCTTGCCTCACATAACGAAAACTACTTTCTACTACTACATGTATCTATTACCACGTAAACATAGATGAAAAAAATACGATGCAGAAACGAATGTTACACATTTAATCTAATCAATCTGTCCTCTCCTATACTCCTTGTGCCAAACTTGTCTATAATTTCTTTTGTTATGATGGGACTTACTTGACTCCTGTTTTAGTTAGTAAAACACAGCATATATTCATCACAGCATCCCACCTGTGAGAGAGAGGTTCAAGGGTAGAGAATAATTCGTATCCACAAGGGTTGGATCCGCTTTTGGACTCTATAAAGGCAGGAGAGTGAGGATTGGGTTGCTCCCGCCCAAATATGACAAAGTACTCCATTTTTTGCCCTGACCTAGCACTTGTAAAGGTAGAAGGTAGCAGAAGTCACGTATTTACTGGAGCGGTACAGGAATCTGACCGTTTTATCTGCATCTTTAGCAATGGATCGTATGTACGAGTTCTACTTGAAGTCGGGTGACAGTTTGAGGCCGAACTATCTTTCAAGGCACGGTGTTTCCCCGAGGCAACATTCGTTCATCGTGACTGGTAGTAGTCCAGGATCCTCTAATCCTTGTGCCAAACTTGATTTCTTTTCGTATGATGGACCTTGGTTGACTCCTGTTTTAGTTAGTAAAACACTGCATATGTTCATCACAAGATGGGACATTAATAATATATAACCAGAAGGATTTATTATCCGAAGGATTCTGTTGTAATCGGTTAGGGAAAGGTCAGCTGCCACTGGTCTTCTCCTTCAGCTTGGAAAACAACCAAAAGTCACACGTGAACAACAACAGAAAGTAACAAGTGAACAACCAAAAGTCACACGTGAATAACTGAAAGTCACACGTGGACAACTAAAAGTCACACGTGAACAATTAAGTCACACGTGAACAACCAAAAGTCACATGGAAAGTCTGGATTCTATGGACATTGAGGGACAGTTCTGATGCCCATCTCTGTCACAAAAACATTATTGCATAGCGAGTTTCCAAATTGTATTCACGTTCCAATTGTTTTCTGCAAACTAGTCACCTATGACAGTGTTTAGTGAGGTTTGTTCAAAGGGTTGCTACAGCTGTCTCCTTCAATTTGGAATAACAAAAGTTAACAGGTCACCTTATTAGATTTATAGTAATAATATACTAGAATTACAAAAATCTAAGACAATTACAATATCCTCTCCTGAAAAAAGTGTCAAAACTATTGGAATGCCACTCGCGCATAAATATATATATATATATATATATATATTGTTGCCTAAATACACAAATATATATATATATATATATATATATGTGTGTGTGTGTGTGTGTGTGTGTGTGTGTGTATTTAGGCAGCAATCCTTCTTTTATGCACATTTCATTGAATACGATAGACAAGGTTCTTGATTTAGTTTTATATACAATTTCTCATGTGATCTAATATTTTTTTCTTTTCAGTCAAATGATAAATTATATAAAAACTGTCCGAATGTTCTTTTTATTCCGAGCGCTTTCGGCTATACATTTAGCCATTTTCAAGATGAAATATTTCAACTGTTAAGTAAGAAATAGTTTATTTGCATTTATGTATTTATATAATGTTTTCATTTTTCAAAACATATATATATATATATATATATATATATATATATATATATATATATATATATATATATATATATATTATTCGTTAGAGACGTGTGGTACTCTGGCAAAACTTTGTCTGACATAAAAGTGCGTAAGAAGCTGAAGTGTATCATTAGATTCCTCCAGTTGATGTTCATTAACACTAATGGAGACCAAGTAATGAATGTGAACATCGCCATTTGGTGATGCGTTTTAGCAGTGGCATCTGCAGTGTGTGTGGCAAGCCACGTTTTTGTCGGCCGTCAGCATCACTTGTTCATCGCTGTCGAAAATGCATAGCTCCTAGTGGATTTTCTTTGTTTCTTTGTAGCTGGAAGCTTGCTCTATCCTCCGGTGTTATTGTGCTCCCTGTATCTGTTGTAGATTCCATGGAACTAAACAAGAGGCGTTTCTTTCGGAGCCTCCCCCTTCTCCTTCGATATATTTCCGATCGAAAGCCTTTGCCAAATCTACCTGTTCTGTTTGAAAACCAACGTAAGACAAACAATTACATGAAAATCCGGTCAACGAAAGTATCTGTTTGCTTTCATGCGAGCTAGATTTGCCAGATGATCTCCTAACCTCTATTTTACGAAAGGAAAACAACTTAATTTCTCTTAAGAGGCATTCATTCCAGATCCCGCCCCCGACCTTCGCTTTATTCTGAATCGTACAGCGAACGTCTCCTCGGCATGAGGCCCGACATTGACTGGCTGATGACAGAAATAAACCACACAGTCTTTAAATAGATCTAATCATAGTTGCCATCATTTCTCTCCTGTAACTAAGACTTCTGAATGAATGAATGAATGAATGAATGGGCTCACACATATAGATGCGAAATCAACAGCCACATTGCCAGTTACGGAGCCCGTTATTACAGTTGACCGATTAAAGTCGTTATCCCTAGCAAGACGAATGATGTTAGCCCCAGCGACTATGGTTTAGTAATTACAGGATCGTATCACGTCGCACCAATATACAAAAGTTATTAAGAACTACAAGGCGCAAAAAATTGTGGAGGTCTATTGATACCCAACGTCCTGATGGATATCCCATTGCACAAAAAAAAAAAAAAAATTAAAGGACATATTGAAGGTAAGAGGAACAGAGGAAAGCAACACACAACCTACCTGGCGAGCTTGAGTAAATGGATGGCGGAGCAAGGTATGGAAGAGAAGGCAAAAAGACAAAAGTTATTAAAAGCTACAAAGGATAGAAAATTGTGAAGAGCAACGAAAGGAAACTGTATATAAAAGAAGAAATACCAAAAATCTTCAGACTTTCACCAGAATTAGTTTTACAAGCTTCGGCACAAAATATGAATATTGATTATCAATATTTCGAAAATGAGGAAGGCTGGCTTGGAAAATTTGACACTCACAGAGCAAATTGAAGATAGGAGAGACAGAAAAAGCAACGCACACTCTACCTTGCGAACTTGAGTTAATGGATGGCGGGGCAGGGTTTGAGATAGATGGCAAAATGACAAAAGTTATTAAGGAACAGGAAATTGTGGCGAGTCATGATCGCCAACGTCCTGAAGAGTCACGACACTTAGAAGGTGGAGGAGGAGAGAACTAGAGTCTCTGCCAGGATTTATTATCGGTGGACGTAATCTTAACAATATAAGATGCGCAGATGACACTGTGTTGATAGTCGATTTGATAAGAAAAATACAGGGCCTCATAGACAGGATGGTAGAAGAAAGCAGGAAGAAAGGACTAACCATAAACTAGCAAGGTCATCAGCAAGAGAAAAAATCCGAGATGCGAGTTACAAATTGCATATATAAACATCAAGCAGTTGCAGCAGTTCAAATAATTGAGAAGCATTTTAAAAGATGATGGAAAATGCGACACCGTGATTCGAACACGCGTTGCACTAGCGAAAAAAAAAACACTGCAAAAGCTAAGCAAAGTGCTCAGAAACGGAAAGATTTCTTTAGAAACAAAAAGAAAAGAGTGTTGAATTGCTATGTGATATCCATCCTCTTATATGGCAGTGAATGCAGAACAATCTCCGCACAGATGAGGAAAAAACTAGAAGCAACAGAAATATGGTTCTACAGACGAATACTGAGAATTCCATAGACGGAGCGAGTAAGCATCAAGGAAGTCTTAACAAAAATAACAACGGAAAGAATACTTCTACACAGAATCAGGAAAATACAGCTGAAATTGTTTGGACACATAATGGTTAAGGTGGGCTTGGGAGACTTAATCCACACTAGCTATGTAGAGGACAAGAGCAATAGGGGAAGGCAACGGACAACACCTGCCTGAAGAACTTGTGGGAATATATGACGTAATGGGAGGCGGGAACCTTAGCAAAAGAAGAAAAACCTGTATGAGTCACACGAAATAGGAAGTTGTGGAGGGTTATGATCGCCTATGTCCCGAAGGGACGCAGCACATAGAAAAACAAGATAACGTCGCATATATTTAGAGGAAGTGCTGAAAAAAGACGAAAATATATGAATATACTGTTTACTCAAATATGGGTGTTCACTAAAATAACGTTTAGAGTGATAAAATTTGTCGGATAAATTTAATCAATTATTACTTTATATATATATATTTATATTTAAGTTATACATTCCTTATATAGATACAAATATTTATGTAAATACTCTGTTTATAATAAACAGTATTAAACAACATTTACCGGCCGAGAAATTTTCATAGAAAAAATTCGCCCTCCGACAGGATTCGAACCTGTATCCTATACGGAACCGTTATTTTGCTTGGCGTGCCTTTACCGATTTGGCCACGAAGGAGCGTTCGGTTTGCCAAGTTGAATCTACTGTATTTAAACTTCAATTTTCTATGAATCTCTCACGTACATTCATATCTGCTCCTTCGTGGCCAAATCGGTAAAAGCACGTCAAGCTAAATGACGGTTCCGTGTAGGATACAGGTTCGATCCTGTCGTGGGATACATATTTT